GTGGTGCTGGGGGATTGAACCGTGGTCCCTGTGCTTTGCTAAGCTTGTTCTAAGTAGGTGCTTTAGACCACTGAGCCATCTCACCAGCCCCTGTTTGTTTGTTTTTGAGACGAGGTCTTACTGTGTAGCTCAGGCTGCCTTGGACACTTATACAGTCCAGGCTGGCCTTGGCTCAAGGACATCATCCTGCTTCAGCCTACCAACTGCTGGGTTTACAGGTGTGCACCACACCCAGCTTTTGTCATCTTATACTGACTTTGTTCCTGACAGCTTTGCCTTCTGCTTAGTTTCCTCTGCTGTGACTCTAGCTCCCCCTGCGAGACTCCCAGAGCGTGAGCCCTTCTTGCTCTTAGTGTCCCACAGGAAGCTTTTTTGTTCTTTTTAGTTGTTTTCCTTTCTTCTCACTTACTGGGTTCATTCAAAAGAGTGTCTTCAAGCTCACAGATTTTTTCTTCTGTGTACTTATGTACTGTTTAGCACTAGATCCTATTTATTTCATTCACAGAACTTTTTAGCTGCAAGCTTTCAGTTCTTTTTATATCTACCACTGTTGAATTTCTTTTTCAGTTCATGAATTATTTTCCCAATATCATGAGTTGTTTTTCTGTTCTCCTATGTCTCAGTGAGGTTGTTTGAGATCATTATTGTGAATTCCCTTTTAGGCATTTCATAAATAAATTTCTTTAAGTCTGTTACCAGAGCCTCCCTCTGTCCCCTGGCAGTGGCCCGTTTCTTTTGTCCTTGCATTGGTATCTGTGCATTCCCGTCATCTCCTCCAGTTACTTGGCGGATTTTCCCTGTACGGAGAGCCCTGCTCTGGGGGTGGATGTTGGGGTGTGTGGGCTTTGGTTCAAGATGAATGCAGCAGTATGGTCCCACAGGTTCTTCAGCTGTACCTCCATTGCTGGCATCCGTGGCAGCATCAGTGGCCTTGGCTGTGGTATTGGGGACTGCAGAGTTGTCTCATGGCTCCATGGGCCAGGACTGCCGCTTCCTGGCAGTTGTGCTGAGGACATGGCAGGCTTTCTGGCAGTGGGGGCAGTGTCTGGCTAGTTGTTGTGCTGGACTCTGGCTTGGGGGTTGCTCAGGGCCATCCTGGGCCGTGACAGCCTCGCCAGCAGACAGGCCCACTGCCCACATGGCTCTAGGGATGCAGGGCTGCCTGCCTTATGATGACCTTCTGCTGCCACCGCCACCAACCTTTCCCTCCTCGTGTAATGTAGTTTCCTTCCCTGGCTGCTTTTTAAGATTTTCTTTTTCTCTCTTGTTGTTAGGAATTAGATTTTTGTGTACCCTGTCCTTTTGAGTGGGATTTAACTTAGATGTAGTTTTCATCAGATTTGGAACATTTTCTTCCTTATGTTTTCAATGGAAGTGTTTTCTGCCTTTGCCTTGCTTTCTCCTAAGGCTTCACCACTTCAGTCTCGCTTAGATTTTCATTTCTGTTGGCATGTCTTTGAAATCAATGATCAATACTTCTTTTTCTTTTTTTTTTTTCCAGAACCAGGGATTGAACTCAGGCCCTTGAGCTTGCCAGGAAAGCGCTTATTCTACTGAGCCATCTTCCTGGCCCCTAATCGATACTTCTTGAGCTTTTAGTCTGTCATCATATATTCACTGTGTTTTCGATGTCTAAAAATTTCTTTTCTGTTTTATTTTGTTTTGTGGGACAGGAGATTAAACTCAGGTGTTGCACTACGTTTCCCAGGCCTTTTCATTTTTTTCTTTTTTGCCAGGATCTCATTAAGTTGCCTGGCTGGCTTGAACTTGAGATCCTTCTGCGTTAGTCTCCCAGGTAGCTGGGATTGCTAGTGTGTGCCACCACGCCCAGCTAGAACTTCCATTCTAATATTCTGCTTCTTTTCTTGTTAGCCTCATAGTTACTTTTATATCTTTGAGTGTGTTTATGATTTTTACAAGAGCTCTTTCAAGGCTCTTATCTGCCATCTCCGTAGTCACAGTTATTTCAGGGTCTCTTTCTGTTGATTGGTTTTTCTCTTGATTATGGATCATTTTCCTGCATCTTTAGTACTTCAGAGTTTTTGAGTGGATACAGCCACTGTGAGTGTTTGTTGTTGCTGGACTTTTGTTCTCCGACATAATTAAGTAACTTCAAGGTCATCTGGGCCCTGCAGGAGCCTGCCCCTGAGCTTTGCTGGGAGGCCTCAGCTCCTCACTCCAGGGCTGAGCTGGCCCCCTCCAGGCTGAGCGTCTCCTTGGCACTGCCTCTGGCTTTGTGTGGCTCCCCACTGTCAGCTTTGCTGCTTTCTGTGTTTTCCCCCAGCCTCAGGTTTCCATGGCACACTTCAGGTCAATGCTCAGCATAGACCTGAGGGGTCCGTGTCCACAAAGGACAGCCACCTCAGTCTCTGGGAATCCACTGTGTGACCTGTCTGTTGGCCCTGCTGCAGAGTAATTTGTACCCCACTCCTGCCCTGCAGTTTGGAAACTGGCTGCAGGCAGCTTGGGGCCACCACTTCAGTGCGCTGGGACTCCAGCCCTGTGTCCCAGGTGGTCCAGGTCCTCCGGTACTTTTTTCCCAGATTGCTGTGCTTATGGTGGGAAGTCCATCCCCATAGCCATGAGTCTTCCTGGGCAGAAA